GTTGCTCAAGAACAATAGTGTGGAGTCCTTCCCCACATTCTACTCGTCCCGCAGCGGGTCCGCATGACGGGAACGCAGAAAGCCTCCACCCTCCGCTGTTCCCACACTCAAACGCCTGTACAGTCTTGGCGGATGTGTGCGTGTACACACACACACGACTTTTTGGCAAAACGGACCATCGAAACGAAAAACGAAGATGAAGAAATTCAATTCTCCTATATAAGAGACTGTTCTCCTAATAGTCTCAAGTACACTAATTCAGAATCTTAAATCGGTTTTCTTTTATCTCTTCGTTTAGTAGAGATATAAATAAATAAAATCTTATTGATAGTCCGTTTTGTCAAAAAGTCGTGTGTGTGTGTACATGCACACATCCGCCAAGACTGCACAGGCGTTTGAGTGTGGGAATGGTACCGATGCGGAGAATCCCTGTCATAGACGTATCATAGGGCAGCCCCAAGACGGAATTGGGGAAGGGGAGGGGCATAAGATGATCACCCCTGTCTCTCACTTGTCTCCCCCTCAACCCCCTCCTCGTCTAACAGGATCGTCGTCAGGTCAACTCGTTTATTGGCGACATGAAGGACGGTTGGAGGAGGAACGGCTCGGCCTCAGTCCACCTTCCAGCCGATCCGTTCACCTCAAAAGACTCCGCCCTCCCTCGTTCCTTATTTGAACTGCTTTTGTTCTTTTCCAATCCTCACTGTCTCACTCTTGCTCAACACGGAATCAGATCCTTCAGTATTTTCTATATAGTCCTTGCGAAGGATCTTTCCGCTGGCCTAAAGCGTGACAGTTCAAAGATTGCCGGCCCTTCGTAATTCCCAAATCTTGTTCATCTTGACCGCCACTTACACGACCAGTCATATGACAACGAGACAGTGAATATTTGAGAGGACCACGGCTCTCCCCAACATGAAGTTCGATTTCTTGGTGTTGGCCGCCGTAGCCAGCGCATCAACACTTACGCCCAACGTCCTGCCGTTGTTTGTTCGCAACCCGTACCTGAGTACATGGCTTGGAAGCGCTCGCAAAGCACCATGGGAGGACTGGCCCATGTTCTGGACCGGATCTCATGTAAGTATCTGTCCGGTCTGAGACGAGCAAGGTATGTAGCTGATCCCTCTTGAAACCGGAAAAGCTGGGCTTTTCGGGCATGGCATCAATTCCCGACTCCGGAAAGATCTATCCCCTCATCGGACGACCTCATGATTCGCTTCGTCGTGGACACAAGCTTTACAGTATCACCTTTCCCGAATACCTAGGACCTACTTTCGACGCCTCGACCACGAACCTGACTTACCTTCTTCACGGATCTTCCTTAGACGAGCCAGTGAAAATCACACTTTCGTTCCTCTCCCCCATCACTCCGTCATCCACCCTCAGACAGTCGATACCTGCTGCGTATCTTACCATCATTGCCGAGGGTTGCTCCAACGTAACGATTTACACCGACGCCAATGGCGAATGGGTCAGCGGGAACAGGGCGAACGAGATCAAGTGGGACCTGCACGAGCCCAAGGTACCGGAAGAAAGCTCTGAGAAAACCACGCCCATCAAGACGTGGAAGTGGTCACGTCAGACAGAGCAACATCTGACCGAGTTCTACGATCACGCCGAATGGGGAACCATGCACTTCACCGGTCCGGCTGATGCTCAACATGAAGCGGGCACCTCTGGCCTTCTTCGTCAACACTTTGCTGAGAAGGGCTACCTGAGGAATCAAATTGACCGGGACTTCCGTCGCATCATGCAAGAAGAGCCCGTGTTCGCTTTTGCGAAGACCTTCAAACTGGCCGGAGAGTCCAAGAAGAAGGGCTGCTCAAAGACGGAAGACAGCGCGGTGTTCACCTTTGCCCTCATCCAAGACCCAGTGGTGCAATTCGCTTCTGCTAGGGGTCTGACTCTCATGAAGCCGTTCTGGGCTTCGCACTTCGCCTCACCCGACGAACTGGTCCGTTACCACTACAACGATTTCAAAACTGCGTCTTGGCTAGCTCGAAACTACTCTGATTCGCTAGCTCGTGATGCCTTTGAGTCCGGATCAGAGAGTTATCAGGATATCGCCGCGCTTTCTGCCCGCCAGGTTCTCGGTGCCACCCAGTTCTCCGGCACCCCTGATGATCCCATCATCTTCCTCAAGGAAATCTCGTCAAATGGCAACTTCCAAACCGTAGACGTCATCTTCCCTGCCTTCCCATTTTTCCTCTACACGAACCCGAAGTGGCTCGGCTACCTTCTCGAACCGCTGCTCGAGCACCAGTTGAGCGGGCAATATCCCAACGACTACAGCATGCACGACCTTGGCGCCCATTTCCCCAACGCTACTGGACACAGCGATGGCAACGACGAATACATGCCGGTTGAGGAGTGTGGAAACATGCTTATCATGGGATTGGCTCTCGCCAATGCCTTCCGCTACGATACCGAACCCGCCTTCGTCCAGGCCGCCGCACCTCATGCCGTTGCCAACACCATTTCCTCAGCCAAGGACTGGTCACGCTCCGTAGACGAATACGGTTTCGACCTAAGCGGACACCGCGACCGCAAAACTAATCTTCAAACCACCGGGTGCAAAGCCGCAGAAAAATGGCTTAGCCGCTCCTACTCCCTCTGGAAGCAATGGACCGGCTACCTCGTGCGCGAATCGCTGATCCCGCACAACCAGCTCTGTACTGATGATTTCGCTGGGTGGCTCGCTAACCAGACAAACCTGGCATTGAAAGGCATCATTGGCATCAAGGCCATGAGCGAGATCGCGGATATTGTTGGCCACGAAGACGAAGCTAAGCACTATAGAAAGATTGCTGCTACTTACATTGACAGGTGGCAAGAGTACGGCATCTCGAGGGACCAGACTCATGCCAAGTTAGCATATACGTGGTATGGATCTTGGACGACGATATATAATCTTTATGCGGACTCGTTATTGTGTTTCCATGTTCCTTCTTCTTCTTCTTCTTCTTCATCTTCGTCCTCCTCAATGAAGGAGCACCAAGACGAACGAAGAAAGCCGGGCTTCGGCCGATGGTTCGGCACAGCTGGAGACCAGAAACCCATTGGTGGCGGCGGTGACGGCGATGATGACAGTGGCGATACTGAAAAACCATTCATTCCGGACAAGGTTTACCAGATGCAAAGCGACTGGTACTCCGCCGTGCTACAAAAGTATGGCCTTCCGCTCGACTCGCGACACTTGTACACCAAGAGCGATTGGGAGTTTTTCGCGGCGGCGGTGACGGGGAAGAAGACGAGGATGGAGATGTTGGAGGCCATTTCGTTGTGGGTTAATGAGACTGTTACTGGTATGTTATGTCGTCATCCCCTCCCCGGTTTCTCGTCTCTCCCAGCCCCATTTTGATCCTATCTTGTCATCATCGTCAATGGAAGATTAGACTAACAGTAGCAATGCAATAGACCGTCCTCTAACCGACCTCTATGAGACCGAAGGCAATGGTGGTTATCCGGGCATTTACTTCATGGCGAGACCGGTGGTTGGTGGTCATTTTGCTTTCTTGGCGCTTGAAAGGGCTTGTGGGGGGAAGGCGGTGGAGGCGCTGAGGTTTATGGATGAGGAGCCGGCAGGGAAGAAAGCGGTTGATGTTGATGAAGCTTTAAAGGCTGATATGCTGGAGGCTAAACAGAAGGGATGGTGGGTTGGCGATCTTTGAGTGCGTCGGAATGTAGGAACTCGGGACTCTTGAATTGGATGCCGTTAGCCTGTCGAAACACAATGGAGTACAATCTCGCGGCTCGCTCGCTGCCTAGAGTTTGACCTAGTAGCTTTTCGTTAGTGTTCCCGTGATAGCCGAGTTGGTCAAGATTTGGATGCCCTCGTGAAACACGATTGACTGCCGAGTTTCCTCCAATGTTGATCTGGTCGTGGTAGTCCAGGGCAGGAATGGTAAGAGCAGGGAACTATATTAAGCTCGTAATGCGGCATTCCAGCCAGCCCCTGGAGAGAAGCTGAGCAAAAATGGAGAGGAGAGTTGACCTAGGTCATCAGCCTCGATAGCCTCAACAAAACACGTGCACTTTTAGTGCAGTGGCTTAAGTTGTGAGGCGGCGTGACCTCACATCAGCTTTGTCCGGCGAGATTCCCCGGTGAAGTTCGAGGTCACGGTCTCGAGCTGGAAAAGTCCCCTTCTCGCCCAGGATATACATAATAGATGACACCCGAGTCCAAGTTTTGACCTTGCACCCAGCGAAGAAATCATCGACAACTGGATGGACAAGATACTACAAATAGTGTGTGTACTACAGGGTTGCAAGGGTTTGGAAGACGCCGTTACTGAGTATCGCATACCATAAAATCCTTGATTTGCGTGGTATTCTTGGGCTGAGTTTGGTGTTTTGTTCTGGATGGAGAACATGGGTGTCATCAATTTCGTCCAAGAAGTTCTGGCCAACTGGCGCAGGGACTTGGCAGCACATTTGTACGCAGTATTTACAGTGGGTCTGGTGGGAACTGGTAGCTGCCGACCGAATGATACGCAGCGTCTGTTTGGTCCTTGCAGTGGCGTCTTGGCATCACACTCAAGTGGACTCCAAAAAGCCAATGAGCGCATTGGGCCTGAAACTGGAGAGTAATGACGTCGATGGACTAAGGAAGCGATTGCCTGTCTCAACGCATGACGACGTTGTGGAAAGGAAGGAATCGTCGCCCTCTTTGTTGCAGTGAGCAGTGAGCAGCCAGCCTTCGGTTGTGACGGGGACGCGATTGGCATCATACCTGTAGTGTAGGACATATCATCATTGAGTGTCATCATTTTCTGCTCTGGCTTCGTTCCCCATTCGTTTCACCTTTTTCTCCTCCTGTCTGTCATTCCATCGATCTCACCGAGGAAACCGAGCCATCCATCATTCAACGCCGCAGTTTCCATCTTCGACACCGGCGTAGCCGTTCTCTTCTCCTACAAAAAAAAATAAAAATAACCCTAGACATCCTGATCGACAATCCTTATTACAAACCTACAGATAAGGTTACTCTAACACGCGACCATCACCGTACAAAACCAATCGTCAAGTAGAATCCACAAGATCAAACAACACCTCGAAAGCAAAGGACCTGTAAGATTTCGCCATTTCACAGCCTCCGTCGCAGTGGACCATCATCATCCGGCCGGTGCCCCACAGTTTCCCGACATCCGATTCCCACGCGGCCGGTCTGGTCTTTTAACCTTTGTTTTGTTTGGGATTTGGTCCTGGTTCCAATAGCCATACATAAACCATGGTCTCATCTACTGCGCTTAAGCAAACAGCGCTCGTCCCTCCAAGTAAGTCCGCGCGTTCATCAGGTGGATGCTTGTCAGTCGGGCGCAACACCCGGACATACCTTACTGACCACCTTGTAAAGACAATACGGGGAGGCTCCGATACGCAGACTCCAAAGACCTACCTAGCTGCCCTTCTTCCGGTCTCAAGGACAACAACGGAGCTGCCAGTGCCGCCGCGACTTTGGGATGGACCAACAGGAAATCGGTCGAATATCCAAAACCAGAGATATCGACAGCTCCCGCTTCTTCAGCCGCGACTTTGGGATGGACAAACACCAAAGTAGTTGAACATCCAAAGGCAGAGCTATCAAAGACACACGCTTCGCACGCCAATACCGCTGCAGTCCTGGCTAACGGCCAAAAGATGGCGTCCCCAACGAGTAACGGTTTGGAGGTTTCGCGAACCAAGAGCAATGCCGCAGGATCACAAGCGGCTATCTCGGCATTACGTGCAGCTCAAAGACAACAGAAGCAACAGCACCAACCCCAACCTCAGCAGCCTAAGCTTACCCTGCAGACCTCAAACTGGGGTAACTCGGCTGCGAATTTGGCCTTCAAGGGACACAAGTCACCGACCTCTTCTACCCTAACTGTCCCAGAGACACATAGTTCCGCCTTGACACGGCAAGCATCACTGCGCGCAGCAAGGGATGCTGTGGCCGGGCGACGCCCGCGATCGAAGTCGCAACCTCAGCCGATAACCGACAACACCGCATACCCTGACAAAGAAAACGCAACCTCCAATGCCCTCAGCGCCGCGGCCAAGTCGATGCGCTCTCCATCTATTCGTTCGACGGACGGAGCCGGCGCCGTTCCGTACACAACCATGAGCAGAGAAATGTTTACGTCCCGACCTCCTGTCAAGCCTGAAGTCGATGAGAAGCAGCGGCAAGACGTTCTCCATGCTTCCGCTTTGGCCATGGCCAAGCGCATGTACACCCAGCAGCAAAAAACGATCGACCAGTCCAAACAAGCGCAAGGGAGGAGATCCTCCTTTGAGCGCCATGGTACCAGCAACCCAACAGATCAAAACGACGAAGTGGAACGCTCGCCGGTGGTATACAACAGCCTCCAAGACGCCGCCTACCGTCTCGCGCAGGAACGTCTTGCCAAGCTGCACGACGAACACCAGAAGAACCGGGAGATGCAGGAGTACTACACGGGTGCTTCGCCCTCCTCCAACCAGGGCAACAGCGCCGGTAGCGCATTTGGCAGCATCCGCAACAAACTAACCAGGCGTCGGTCCTCCAGCGACGGCGACATCATCGCCGCCAACGACCGCCAGCACTCCCAGCGCATTCGCAAGCAAATGTCCCTTTTCAACACCAAGATCGCCGAAGTCGACGAGCAAAAGCGAGCGCGCGACCGCGAAGCGCTTTTGCAAGCCGCGCAGCGCAACGTCAAGGCGCGATTGCAGGGGATGGATGAAAAGCTGTATGCGGAAAAGGGAGTGATGATTCCGCACACGAGCAAGAGCGATTGGGAAGTAAAGGCACACGCTGCGGCGCAGGCGAGGTTCGATGCGACGAACAGTGGCAAAAGGTCGATGGATGCGGGCCAAGTGGATATCGGTGGAGGGAAGATGGTAGACAGGGCGAAGGTGGAGGATATCGCGGCGAAGAGGGTGCAGCCGCTGCTGGATGAAATCAATGATCTTGCGGAAAAAGAGAGGGAGAGGAAGGCAACGTTGAAGATGGAAGAGGAGAGGAAGAAGGAGGAGGTGGAGAAGAATAAGATGAGGGAGAAGGAGGTGGCGATGTTGCACAAGCAGTTGAAAGGTATGGTTCCTTTGCGTGTTAGTGTCGATATCAGGGGTAAGTGGCTAACCCGAATGATTGACAGACCAGCAAAAAGACAAGGAGAAGGCTCTGGCGGCGGAAGTCAAGAGAGAAGAAAGGCAGCGAAAAGAGGAAGAGAAAGCGGCCAAGGCCGAGCAGAAGCGATTGGCCAAGGAGGCCAAGGAGACCAAGGAGGAGAAGCAAACTGGAAAGGGGAAGGAGCCCGCGACCGTCGCTGATTTGGACCGAAGTTCGCCGGACAACCAACCAATGGTCCGACCACCGGTTGTCCATAGGAGGACAGACAGTTCAGGGTTGGCCAGGTTATCCATGCCCTTCCTCCAAAGACGCACATCGCCGCTTCAACGGGTTTCAACATCACCAGACGAGGGAACGAGTCCCATTTCGGATCCGCAATCGGTGGCATCCCCAACTAGCAAAGTGAAGGCCTGGTTAAAGAGCCGCTTCTCCCGTCCTAGACGAGTATCTGGCGCATCTGTCGCCTCGCCGAAAGTAGTTACAACGGCGGACGGTACCGCTGATGCTGCCAGCCCAAATGCGAACAGGGGCTTCATCGGTGGCATGGCCCTAACCCGGAAGCTAGGTGAAAATAACCCCAGTGTCCCCTCCATTGTTGGAGACGACCACAGCGGGCCGGGAAGTATCCGCGAAGTCGCCCTTGCCGGCCTCTCAGCTCCCAGCCCGGTCCAGGCGTCGGCGACACTGGCGCCAGCCATAACACTGCGAGCGACGGCACAAGATGAACCTGGTGAAAGCAGTGGCCTTACGACCGTCCCTAACAACCCCACCGGCGCCCTGGGCACTGCCGCTTTGAAATCTTCCTCTCGACCTATCAGCGCCATTGGTAGTTTGGACGCACTGGCTACCGTCACCACCATCACCACTACTACTACCACCACCAAACCAGCAGTCCGCGACCGTCCTCCCTCCCCATCAGCCCAAGACCAAGGCCAAGTCCAACAACCACACCTCGTCCTCCCCTACGTCACCACCACCACCACCACCACTGCCCCAGCCGGAGGCGAAGCAGAAGTCAACTCCGTTAGCAGCCTAAGTAGCTCAGACTTAAGCGATAGCGTCTACAGCAGTGTAAGCAATAACAGCGCTTCAAGGCCTGCTCAAGACAACGACAACGACAACGAAGACGACGAGTTCCTAGAAGCGAGAAGCATTTTTTCCAGCGACGGGCCGCATACACCACCATCGGCGGGGTTCCCTCCGGTGGTGAATGGGATGCAGGTTTCTGTCACACAACCTACCCCCAGTATTGGTAGTGAGGGGCATGGGCAGTTTTTGATGGTTAAGCCGAGAGCTAGTACTGGGTCTGGTTTTGGGGTGGGGAGTGTGAGTGGAAGGAGTCTGAGGGAGAGGCCGGTGAGTCCGGGGGGACTGAGTGTTGGACAGTCGTCGATCAGTGGGTGTGGGAGGATTAGTCCGTTTAGGGAGAGTAGGTTTTCGGAGAATTTTGATAAAGAGGATTAAGGGGTAGTGGATAAGGTTTTGTGTTTTTAATTGTGGCACTTGGGTTTGTTTTGGATAGTGTTCTTTTCTTGGATGGTTGATACCCTTTTCGGGGGCGTCTGGGGCGTTTAATGAATGGATGGGTGGGTGCGTAATGAGAACAAATGATTGATGAATGTTTTGCTTGTCCTGTATCGCATACCTCAAATTGTTCTGTTGGGGTTTTGCTGCGGTTTTTGTACATGTAATGGCTTAATGATCCTGAACGATCCGTTCCCTAGGTGCCTGTCTTCTCTCCTATCTGTACAAATAGGAGTATTCCTAAATAATATTCGTTCGTAGTCAGTCCCAAATCCGTCAAACTCGTGAGATGTACCAGATCGCTTTTACTTCAATTTCAAATACCATCTCGTAGCATCACCAAGCCCAAACAAAGACCCGGGCGATACAAATCCTCCATGCCGTGTTCTGTTTGCTCACAATACTCCACCTCGTCCTCTCTCGTACGGCAGCCTACATGCCAACACTCCAGTCACTCCACTGCTGTTGTCTGGAAGTGGAAAAGTTGTTTGCGTACCTTCCATGCTAGCGTAGCCACCCCTACCAACAACTGTTTCGCTCCTTCCCTCCCCAGAATCACCAGCACTCACCTCATCTGTCTGCCCGTTTACCTAGGTAGGAGCTCGTACCTTCCCAACACTTCCCTTGTACACACACATTACCCCCTCGCCCCCCCCCCCCCCCCCCCGGTTATATAAGCAATTTCCTAGGGTGTTTCTTTCAACGAACGAAGAAACAAGAAAATAAACAACCCTACTGGTGTATCGGTTAACATGGCGGATTCTCATCATTCCAAAATGAAGCTTCCGCAGCGCAGGGTTCAATTCCCTGGTAGGGTAATTTTTTTTATTTTTTGCACATGTCTGGACTTTTTCTGTGTGTTCCTGAAATTCTTGTCTTGCTGTCTGTACTGTGAGTTGAGGTCTACATGACTAAGGTTTACCATCGATCTTTTTTATGATCACTTGATATATGCTTTTCCTGCCGTACTTCTGAGATTAGGGAGGTCAACATGACAGAGGTGGAGAAGCGATGATACCTAGGAAATGAATGGGCTTGAGTCTGAAGTGGTAATCTTGAAGGACATAGAAACGAAAAGCAGAAGAGAAAAGGAGAGCACTGGAAGGGAGTGTTGGTGTATGGGAAGCCCTTGTTGTGAACGGACTTCTTGGGTTTGGACATCCAACGTCAACACACCACTAGGGCTTTGGAGCTGGATTTTCTTCGTTGCCAAGCTATATGAACGGATGCCACTCAGCCATTGTACTGTTAAGCAGGCTGGTATGAAGGCTGCAGTGGTGTTTCATTGTGAGCGGTGTTCACTTTGATAGTATGTCGTACCTTCCAACTCTAGGCTCCTAATGGAGAAAACCCACATGAGCCAAATGTTTACAAGGAAGAAGCACAAACAAGGCATGCTGCTTCTGGTCAACAAGCAATGGAGACCTTACTGGTGTATCGGTTCACATGGCGGATTCTCAATCTTGTGATCAGGTTTCCGCAGCGCAGGGTTCAACTCCCTGGTAGGGTAAACTTTTGTTTTTATTTCTCGTCATGTTCTTTGTAACTTGCTTTTTCTTAATGTTGAGTTCTGTAATAGAGAAATGAGATGGTCTTTTGGGAACTTCGATTCACGTAACAGCAAAATCTTGAAGCGTTCACCAATATAACCATCAAGCATTCTCGTCTATCGTTGCTGATTATTTTGTGAGTGGAATGATTTGAAGGACATGGCGTGACATTATAAGATGAGGCGGTAGACAGGTTCGATATCAGAGAACCCATTTATCGTTATCTCAAATGCGGCAGGTAGTAGGTACCAATACTTTGAAGCCACCTTACAGCCACTTACTAACCAAGTGTGTCTTGATTTCCATGTGCGATAAAATGTGCCGGTGGCGGAAGGTTTTGTCTCGCATGTGACAGTCTTCTGGAAAGCCTAGATTCATCGTGAGAGGCTGTTGTTGATCTCGTGAGGCCTGGAACCCGATGGAGCGCAAAACAGCTGCGGCGAAAGTGGGAAGGAAGTGGAAAGTGGAAGTGAACTCAGCGGACACAACCGTGTTTTCCAGACTTGTTGGTTACCGATTGACTCTACCGCAAGTCACAAGCAGGTCCGTAGCAATATGGTCAAGACAGAGTGGCCCGCCGAGGAGTGTCGTTCTCAGCCCTACGAGAAGCGGGACGGATGTCGTCTGGTGTGGGGAGGAAAAGAGATCCGCAAGTCCGATGTTCCTGGGACCAGGGGTAGCGACGCGCACAGACCACCCCGCGACACATTCCTCGTGCTCCATCGCCCCGCCGTACTTGGAAGGCATTCCAGCACTCAAATGAGGGGTCTCGATCTGTTGTTTCCCCTCTTCTTCACCAAGCACTGCATCCTCAAAGCTGACAAGGCGTCCATCCGGGTTGAATAACCAATATCACAACATAGCTGACTGTGTGGTGATGAAGCGATAATCGTTCTGTTTCCGACCTCCCTCACAAGACCTTGCGCTATTCGGAGCCCCCCTCCCCCTTCCTTCCGTCTACTTACGTGTTGCTCAACACCGCAGTCTCATTCCTTTCGCTCGCTCGCCTCCTCCATTCGTCACTCACTGTCTCCATCTCACGCGCACACTATGCCATCTAATTTCAGCAACAATTCTCTCAGCTCTGCATAGCCACCCTCTCTCACAAATGCAACTTCAGGACCCGAATCAAACGTGGTTAGACGGGAATAGCAGACAGCCGCGTCTAGAATGCACACACCGTCTGAGTTACCTACACTACAGCTGCGCTACTCTCGCTCTTTCTTCCGACTTTAGTCCACCAGTGCGAGTAAGCCCCGGTCCGATTACAACGATGGCGCCGGAGAGGCGAGAAAGATGCCTGACTACGACTGCGACGATGCGAAGAAGAGTATCAGTGCATATCACACACACTGATGACTACATTATCGGTGTGCATTTTCAATCTCACTAACGGTCGATAGTCTGCCACCTGCGTTACCTTCCCTCAGCTGTTGCCCCGCCAAGTAATGAATTGTCAAAGAACAATCCATACGGTCAATAAATCCAAAGCTGGGCCGGTATTGGCACCCACCCATCAGTTCGGGCTTTATCTGTCACAAATGACAGCAGTTTTCATCGGTGGTTGTGTGGCGCTCCCCGCGTGGACACATCTCGAGTCACATCAAAACCTCTGCTTCGGGCCATCCCATGTCGCTGGGGAAAAAATAGTCGAAAAAAATGGTCCTCTTATCGGTAGCACAAAAGATGGGGAGACCAATCAACAGCCGCCGTCGTAATAGGGGTTCCCTTATAGTCGCTCGGCTCGGCATCTCGGCTGAGCTTGGCGTTGGATGAGGTTCGGTGGTGGTGGTGGTGGTGGTGGTGGTGGTTGTTGAACTATTGTACAGTATCAACAGGGTTGTCTCGCTTGCGACGGCAATGTGGTTGCAAAGAAGAGAGAGCCCACATCGTATTCGATGCACAACAGTCAGCTCTCCACTTCTCACTCGCCTTGAACCCGTTCGGCTGCAAATGCCCGCCATGCAGTCGTTGTTGGACTTCGCGATAATACGAGAAGAGCAACCAGGCCCTCCCAAGAACCAATCAGGATCACTCGAGATCCTGGACAGAAGACGTTGTGTGTGTGTGTCTTGATGGAAAGCTGATGCAGGGTCAGCCAATTCCCAACTATCGGTGCGATTCCCCGGGTCCAGATTCCCATCCACCCTTGCCTTCTCCCCTTGCGCCCATATTGTATGTTGTCTCAAGCCTCGTCTGGCTGTACCATCCTCGCCTTGTGATTCCTATGCCTCTTCTGGGTAGGGAGTGCATGAGAGGAATAGGTCGCAGTGCGCAATCATGGACGCACCAATGAAAATAGCCTCTCCTCGAGAGAAAAAGGAGTCTGTCCATCTATCGGCTTACTGCCGTCCAGTTCGGAATAAGATCGAATCCATTCCCTGGTGGTATTGCATTGTGTCGTGCCGTGTTGTCATCGAGCTTAGCGATACGAGGCGTATAAGCATCCTGATACCATCTTTTCTTCTTTCTTACCTCGACCTTCTCTTGCAGACCCCTCAAAGCCAAAGCAGCTATCACTCGTTATTTCCACAATCAAACTGCAGCTGTTCAGCTGCGAGCCGGTTTCCCTTCTCACAATCCGGGCGTCCATCAGTACATACATTCTCGACCGTTGTTATCATACATACGGTACTGCTGTCGGATCTGATGTCCTGAACTGTTTCCCGATCTCGCGCAAGCCTCACAGACGCCTACGACGCCCATTATGAGATACGCACATCCCACCCTGGCTGGCCTGCTCTCGCTGGCAGCCAGGACTGGAGCCGACCCAACATGGCCCGCCGCAACCGACGAGATGGAGGAGATTGTGTATCAGCTCCAGGGGTTTAAGGGCAGGGTTTTTAATGATGTCATTACGCCTTGTAACAATGAGGCTGCCGGGCCTGGGAGGGTAACGGCCTCGGAGTGGCTGCGGGTGGGATTCCAGTATGTGTTTTTGAATTCTTTTTTATTTTTCTGACTTTCAGTGATGAGGGTAGAAAATGGGGCAGGTGAAATGCCTGATGACGATAAGAAAAAAAGAAAAAGGACAAAGGAACGGAATGACACCTCCTGGGAAACCATATGGAACTGAATACCTGTTTTAGTTCGACGAATGAATATATTCCGCACAAGATGCTAACTTCCAACCAGCGACATGGCCACCCACAACCGCGTCTTCGGCACCGGCGGGCTCGACGCCTCACTCCAATTCGAGCTCACAAACGGTGAGAACACCGGGCCAGGCCACAACACCACCCTCAGGTTCTTGGCCAATTACTACTCATCCAAATCGAGTATGGCCGACCTGATTGCCGCCGGCGTCTACGCCTCCGTCCGATCTTGCGGAGGCCCCGTCGTTCCCCTTCGCCTCGGGAGGAAAGACGCAACGTCCAGCGGCAGCACCGGCGTACCACAGCCCCAGAACTCGGCCGAAACGTTTAGGCAACAGTTCGACCGTATGGGGTTCAGTACTGAGGAGATGATCCAGGTGACGGCTTGCGGACATACTCTTGGTGGTGTCCACTCGGAAGAGTTTCCCGAGATTGTGCCCTCCGGTACGGGAACGAACGGTCAGAAGCCGCTTGATACCACCGATGCTACGTTTGATAACAAGGTGGTCACTGAGTACATCTCGGGGACAACGCAGAATCCGCTGGTTGTTGGGCCAGCTGTTGCGGTGAACAGACACTCGGATTTCAAGGTGTATAACATTGATGGCAATGCCACGATGAACGGGTTAACATCGGCGACGACTTTCAGGGACGTTTGCAAGACTGTTCTTCAGAAGATGGTTGATACTGTGCCCTCGGGGGTGACGTTGACGGACCCAATTGCCCCGTATGCGGTTAAGCCTGTTGATATGCAACTGACCTTGAATTCGGGAGGTAGCACTTTTCTTCTGAGTGGGTATATCAGAGTTCGCACAACAAACCGGGCTTCTGGCGCCATCAAGAACATCAACATGACTTGGAAAGATAGAAACGGGGGTTGCGCTTCGGGGTCATGTTCATATACCGCCACCGTACAAGGAGCTGGTACCGGGTTTGATGATACTTTTGAGGTATGCTCCTTTGGCACTTGAACGCTTAACTCATCACAACTGACCAGGCACATAGTTTTTCCCTATCTCGACCAACATTCCCACTTCCTCAGGCATTTCTTCCTTTACAGTCACCGTCAATCTCAACGACGGCACCAGCGAGTCGTACGACAACAACGGAAACTCCTACCCTTTATCAGATGCCATCATCCTCCAAAAACCCCAGAGCTGTCTTCTTCAAAGCTCAGGTGCACTCACCGTTTCTGCGCTTGTAGGCTCTTCCTCCTCCTTCTTACCTTCCAGACTTGCCTCCGCTGACTGACAAAATAGGTCCGCAACGACATCACCGCAACTCCCTCGCTGGGCATCTCTTACCTTACTCCCCGCGGCGTCGTCCGCAACGGCAACCCTGTCCCTATCCTCAGCAGTACCACCGTCGCCATGGCCAAAGGCGACTGTGCCGGTCTCTACACCTTCTACTCAGCCAGCTACACCATCGCAGGTGGTCTGAGTTACGCCGCCAAACTCAGTGTCACCGCAGGCTCCAACTCCGATAGCTTCAACAAGGCCAGCGATCTATCAGGCAGCTGCGCTGCCTTTTCTGGAACTGCATCCTGCACCACGCCTGGTGGTGGTGGTGGTGGTGGTGGTGGTGGTGGTGGTGGTGGTGGTGGTGGTGGTAACGAGCCAGACGCTTCTTCCACGATCGCCAGCTCTTCCGCAGCTGGGCCATCATCAACCAGTAGCGTAGTCAAGGTCACCAGCTCCAGCCACATCACCAGCAGCACCACCATCGCCCCCTCCAGCACCACCTCCTCCACTACTCCCACCGCCACCGGTCCCGCCAGGAAACCCACAGTCGCCGGCTACACCCGCCTCCGCTGCGCAACCGAAGGATCCGGCGTGCGCGCCCTAACCGGCGCCTCCTTTGCCTACGACACAATGACGCTCGAGTCGTGCGCGGCCAACTGCACCGCCGCAGGCAACTTTGCCTACTTCGGCGTCGAATACGCTCGCGAATGTTACTGCGGCAACTCCTTGGCAGCTAGCAGCTCCGAGGCGCCCGATAGCGAGTGTAACATGTTGTGCGCTGGTGATGCGACGGAGTATTGCGGGGCGGGGAATCGGCTGGAGTTGTACGCGAAGCCTTCTTCTGGTGGGACGGGAACAACAACAATAATAACAAGTACTACTACTAGCGCAGCACAGCCAACGGCTACCCTGGGAAGAAAGGACACGGTGGGCGATTACGTCTTTGTCGGATGCCAGACTGAAGCTACTGAAGGCGGTAGGGCGCTGGAGGGCAAGGCCTGGGCTGATGACGGGATGACGCTGGAGGGATGTGCGGAGGCTTGTAGTGGGTGGGAGTATTTTGGGGTGGAGTATGGAAGGGAGTGTAAGTCTTTTTTTCTTTTCTTTTTTTTTCTTCTTCTTTTGCTTGTAAAGCTCTCGCGAGACTGAGCAACACCAAGCTGACCATATAACAGGCTATTGCGGCAACACCCTCCGAGGCGGCTCCGCTCCCGCTCCGCTGGCTGATTGCAGCTTCACTTGTGCCGGTACTCCTTACGAGTACTGCGGCGCTGGAAATCGACTTGAGCTTTATCGGTTGGCGAGTGCTATTTCGTCATCATCAAAGACAAGGAGAACTCGTTTGGAGAGAGGATGGAGGCTTTAATTTTAATAATGTTTTCAGTTAGGATCAGGATGGATGGGAGGATACAGATAGGATACACATTGTGACTGACTGGGCTCAATGACGTCGAACCATCAGTTGAGTGATGCTTCAGAAGATCATTGGGTTTGCTACTATCCGAACAAGGCTTCAAGATACGGTATACGATGAAGAAGATGATGATGATGATGATCTGCCCGTGGCTCTTCCCCAACTTCTAACACGTACCTCCCTCCCGTTCCAGATACTCCTCCTTACCTTATAGTTCAGTCACACAGAGCTACTGGAGTCCAGTCCGAATAACTCCGTGTCGTTCGGTGATCTTCAGGATTCACCTCTTGACTAACAAGACCACTCAACTGCTTTTGTAACCGCGCGTTCTTCAGTTACTTGTGGTTGATTCAAAATACAGGGTGATTTGATTGGGTCATAAGTATGAAGATAGAAGTAAAGGCTGTTTAGGGAAGGCACGATGACGCGGGGGCAGTTCTTAGTTTCCCTTACTCTTTGCCTGGTGCTGGGGCAGGTTGCCGTTAAGGAAGGAACCTGGACAGAAGGAAAGAAGGCGCGGGTTGAACGGCTTTGGGAGGAGGCGATCTTGGCAGAGTCCGGGTGGAGCCTGGCGGTCTTTCTTTCTGATCAGGACGGGAACACGTTGAGAAGAGTTGTTTTTTCTTGAAGGCTGGAAGTGTGTGTGTCAAACATCTTATCTGAGTCCTGAGACGGATATCTTTTGTCATGAATGGGTGATCAGTAACTGTGCATCTGGTCACGATCTAAGTGAATCCGTTCTTTCGTGTTTCAGAGTAGAAACTAGATCGTCAGCTTTTTCTGGCCTCATCGTGTTCTTGTCATTGGGGTTCTATCAGAGCTATGGCTCATATGCTGTTGCTTGCGTGGTCAAAGGATCACAGATTCAAGTCAATGTAGGTAATAATAGTAAAGTGTATAAATATCTAAAGAGCTAGCCAATAAACCCCCAGCCGAAGAATGCTGTTTTGTACGCCGAGCGGGTTTGTGTTTTGCCCGTCTGCCTATCCTCAGAAACACAGACAGACAGACAGACAGCAAATTCTCACAAAGACCCAACCAAACACCCTTCGTCCGCCGCCGTCCGTTGTCGCCGAAAATCAAAACAAAAAACTGACATATACCTGACCTAAAACCGACAGAAAATTTGTCCGACGCCCGTCTTGCTTTGTCCGAGTTCCTGTTCCTTATTCGCGCCTTCCGTCCGTCCGTCCGTCCGTCCGTGTGTGTGAGCGTACCATACGTCCATCCATTGCATATGCGTTCCGTCGTCCTTCCTTGGGTATTGTATTGTCTTGGGTATCCCTTCCTCCTTTCCGAGAGTAGTACAAAGAAAGTCGTAAACTGACATATGCATGTCTCTTCTTCTTCCTCCTCCCTCTTTGTTTGTGGCCTGTATATGGTAACAATGTGTGTGATATGTATGTATGAATGGTAGAGTTTGTTTTATGATTTGAAAATGATTATGGTAAAAAGATGGGGATATCTGAATGCAAAGATGTGAAAAGACCAAGAGAGCTCCGGGGGTATTTGTTGACAGTAGAGAGAAAGTAACAAGATAGAAAAATCCCCACAACAATGCATGTAATGATGATGATGATGATGATGATGATGAGACGGGTGACCTTCGGCCAAGTGACGAGGTCGAGAAAGAAGAAAAAATCATCGCATAGGGGAAGGAAATGCAGCATGGGTGTGTGGGGATCCGACAGGATAGGAGAGATTAGAGGAACGGACGGCATAAAACATGATGCGCATAAGCCCCGTAGATCCCAAACTCTCCACCCATACCAAAACCGGGGGTAATGACAAACTTCATGTGAAACCACCGCAGTCTCTGGGATAGCAGGAGTGAAACCTGCCCGTGAATCCCTGAAACGCCGATCATTCCTCCACATCAAGTTCGTTAGCCCTTACCCACAAACCCCGTCGCCCGATTCATGCCGTACACGTGTCGTCCCGTTCCCGTTCCGTCCCGTGTGCCATCCGACATGCATTCCATCCCATCATGGCAACCCGCCCTGACGTTTAAAAACCCGTTTCGTCCCGCCAATCTTGCCCATGTCGCCGAACTTCCCCTCTGCAGTAGCTGGCGAGTCCGACACTTGACGGTTCATGCCAGAGGCGTTCTGCACCTTAGCCTTCATATCCTCCACCCACGCTTTATCCTCCTCACTCATTTCAATGTTCTTCGTCCGCGGCCCTGCTAATCCAAGCACGATCTCCTCATCACCACGATGGCTGAGGCGGGAGCTTGAGCGAGAGCGAGTCGAAATCGAGCGGGAGCGGGCTGCAACTGATGGGGCTCTTGGCGATGATACGGCAGTCGCTTTACCAGCCGAAATAAAGGGGGTCTTAGGAGTCGCTTTGGGTGTTCCGGCGTTCTCCTCGTTTGCCTCCGCAGGCTTTCTAGTCTTGCGGACGTTCAAGGGAGTATCTGGAGGGGATTGTCGATCCTGGGTAGACCGTGTGGATGGCGGCCGAGTGGGTGAGCTAGAACCACCAGCTATTACACGAGGCATATTGACCTCCACCTTGCCCTCTAGCGCGACGTTTCGGCGATGGTGGCTGGCGAAAACCCGAAGATACTCGCCTAAATCGGCCCATCCACCACCAATTCGTACCATGACCCGTTCGCCGTTCTCACCAACGCATCGGATGAACAGCTTGATAGGAGCTTCACCGTTGTTCCTCGTAAGGTGGTAAATCTTGATATCACGATGACTGCCGCGGTTGCGTTGTCGGGAACTGCGGGAAGGTGCCGGGGCGAGCGTAAAGGAGGGTGTTCCAGCACGGGAGGACAAGGTAGACCTTGTCGACAGACTGGACTGGCTCCTGTTGCGCAGCTCCGGCTTAGATGACTTCCTGTTTAGGGCAGTGAAATCGGGGGGATTCAAATTAATCGGTGAGGGTTCAGAGGTGAGGCGGATCTTAGCCGGTACAGACTCCAAGATCTCACTAATCTGCTGCTGGAGCAGGTCCAGCTTTTCATCCGAATTTCCGGCGTTAGACTTGGATGGGTTTCCGTCCTCATTGATGGCCGATGACTCGAAATTCGACTCGTCAAAGTCTGGCAACTCGGCCACAGTTGGCATGTCGCTAAACCCGCGCGACAGTGACCTGAGCCTCGACTTTGATCTGCTAAAGCGTGGAGGAGAGCTTGGAGGGCTGACATCCCGCGACAGACTGCCGTCAAGATCCTTACTCCGTCTTCGAGAGCGATCCGGGGTCTCCTGCTCGAGTACTCGATTTCCAAATACAATGGTTGAAGTGGTGGAGAAGTTGCTATCGCGCCTCGAGCGGGGAAAGCCAGGGAGATCATGTTCGAGGCTATCATCGAAGTCGAAATCTGAGTCGAAGGGGTCTAGTTCGAAATATTCGCCATCGGATGTCGCATAGCTCAGACTGGAGGAATGAGGCCTCGAGCCCTTCGTACAAGCAACAATGTTAGGAGAGGGCATCATCCCACTTGCCGGAGCTCCTTCAATATCAGATCCGTCAAATCCGCCCAGGGGACGCTCGTCTGTGACTAGGCTCTCATCATTGGTTTCTGGGGTCGCAGTTTCGTCCACAAACGTCCAGGAGTCATTTTCTCCTTTCTCGGCGTCATTCTCGTCGATTCCCTCTAAAGGAACGTGGACTTTGATAAGGGGAGGAACGTCGACGTTTATGGTCTTGTTATTATCTGTCAAATCATCGCTTTGTTGGTCTTGGACGGTCAAAGCAACTGCGCCATTCGTGGGCGCATTGTTCGTCTGTTGTTGTTTTCGTTCATCCAAGTCCAGCTTGGCGGCAGTGTCGCTATTAGTTGGCGCATCAATCTTCAAGTCTGCTTGTTTAATTTTGTGCTCGCAGGCAGCAACCCACTCGCCATATTGTTTCTCTAGAGACTCTACTCGGTCCAGCCATTCGTCAGGGAGCGTGTATTCCCATCCTTCTAGACTGTCGAGCATGACATCCAGGTCGCGACCGGCCTTTGCGACTTTCTTTTCCAGTACCGACTTTATCACGTTGAACTCGGCCCATGACAGCGGCGAGGGCGGCCTACTCGGTATCGCGCGAGCATTGGAATCCAATCCAGCTACATTCCGGCCAGATTGCAGGGCAATCTCTCCATCAGCGAGAGTGTCCAAGAAGGCGGGAACCCTCTTCAAAACAAGTAATCGAATGCTCCAGGAGTTTAGGAGTCTGCTGAGACGAGCCAAATTCGGTAAGGTTTGCATGATAGTAGCCGTAAGAAATGCTGTAAGGTCGTCCATATGGGAATAGCTGGGGAGAGGTCGGCTTGAGCCCAGGATAGGAGAACCAAAGGCTGATAGCGGAACGATATGGTTGCGCAGGACATGGTTCTTGATTTCCTCGATATCGATCTCCTCCATGTCCTTGTATATCTCGTCCACGCGCTTCTCATACTTGGCAACTTCGGCAGCAGGCAGGCTGCCACAGTACAGCTTGTTGGCTAGCTGGGATGCGGATTCAAACTTCCTTCTCTTCAAGTCGGGCACCTGAAAGCCAGCGGAGCTTGCGCCGGACGGCCAGGGCCACGATGAGAGCTCATCGAGCCATTCCTGTATCTTGTTGCTAGCAATGGCGGCCCGGAGAGCAAAGGCCTGCTCAGTTGGAGATGCGGAAGCCATGCATGCCCTGAATTCCCCCGTAGGGTTCCGTATGGTATCGAGTGCGGTGCGCGGGGTGAGGTTGGACAAGAGGTCGTCGTTTTCGCGGTAGTGCCGGGGAGGCGATTCGGTAGAGGATCGCGGGGGGCGGCTACGCGGGGTGACGACCGCGAGGGCGTGGGAGAGGTTGGGAGAGGAGGAGGGGGATCTGGTCATGGTATTCGGTGTTCGTTGTAGGTCTTGTTCTCATGGGCGTGTGGTATGTCCGACTGGAGCGCAGCATAACGGCGCGGTTTCGTATTCGTCTATGAACCTGGGGATCTCGCAGATACGATGCTGTCGTCGGCTCCCATAGTCTAAACGAAGTTGAATCGGGGAGTGTCTCGTTGGGAGTCGGACACCGCCTGGAGCAATGTCGTCTTCCGCAGTCGATTCGGGGGAGGAAGAAGCGGTTTGATATAGTCGCAGAGCTCGGGGATCGAAGGTGATTATGGTGGGTGGTAGAGATATGTCGTAGGCAGAGGCACTAGAGGTAGGTTATTGGAGTTGGAAGGGCTGGCAGGCGGTCGCCGATTACCGGTCGCCAGTCGCCAGTTGTGAGAATTAGAAAGCCAGGAGATCAGGCAGGTACGGCCGGATCCTGAGCTTATGAATATGATGACAACGGAAGGTGCGTCGTAGTAGGTAGCTCTTTCCGTGGCCGTGAACAATGGTGGTTGCACACAGAATGAAACAGCAAGTGTACCCGACCAGTCGCAAATCTGAAATTACGGGAGGTACTGAGGGAGGTACTGAAGGAGGTACTGGAGATAGTATCGACAGTAATACGACGGTCTGTAGATGTGTGTAGGCAGGTACCTAGGACACAAACAAGCAACTTGACTTGTCGCAAACTGGCGGAAGCAGCAATCAATGCGGGGAATGGAGGTCCGAGGTACGCTACTGGTACGCAGGAGAACACGCAGAAGACGCAGGAGGGACTGCGCTAGAACGAGAGTGCGGTCGATCAGGTGGATGGCTCTAGGAGTAGCACAAAGACGGAACGCATGTACGTAACAATGCAGAACAGCCGGCGCCGGGATTGGATCAAACGAATTGTACAAAGGACGGCGCAAAGGGGGCTCGCGAGAGAGGGTAGCAACGAAAGACGGGAGCCGTCGTCCGTGGAGGGGAATGGAAACTAGCGTAGGGAAAAAAGGAATGAATGGCGGCAGCGCGCAGGTTCTAGCAGGCCAGATTCAAACGAATGGCAGCTCGAATTCAGCAGAAAGCCGAGCAGTAATTGGATGCAAGTCAGAACAAGTGGATGAGGCGGATCACGGTCGGTCGAGAGCCATCAATGAGATGAACAAGATGGAACAAGTGTGGACTTTTTTGGGACCTGGACTAAGACCGACCCAGACCCACACGCACCACTGCCAGGCCCGGACTCCTTTCGCTTAGGGCCCGATTGGGTTTAGCGATGCTGTTCCAGACATTATCCAACGGCATATGGGGAGAATTTGCACCTTTTGATTCGCCGCTTTCAGCCCTCTGGTACTATGCACTTGACTCTGTTTGGGCCCGACATTTCAATTTGCACCCTGTCTGATGGTCGTGTGCTGTCCTGAGTGGACTCCTGGCTGTCTTCCGCCCCGGCCGGTTGCTCGCCCGCTGCCCGTTGCCGTTGCGATGGCTCGGTTGCGGGTACGGTTCCAACGTCTCAACAGGTGAAAGAAGATTGCTCCCGGGGGGCTGCTGTTGGGTTCCGGTCAGTGCGACCTCGGCGATGCCCTCAACAGGTACCACGCCATGAGGGCTCCGAGGGGATACCCGCGCCATCACCCCCCTTAGGATGGTCGACGACGTGCTTTGCGCGCGGCGCCTCGGGACTCCAGAATGCCATGAACGGGGGAGCAGGGACAGGCCAATGTCCGACAGGGGCAGAACAGGAGCGAGCAGGGGTGACATGGTCATTAGAATGGACTGTACTATCACCAATCAGGACTAACTCACGATGACCACGGCTCCAGTCCCGACCTGTTCCTGGATCAGGCTCGCCTGTGAGTGTCGGGTGTGTGTGGGGAAATGTACGCTGCTGTCATCACTCCGCCCTGAAGCCAGGACAAGACTGGACCGCCAAAGCAAGGCATCGCCGTCCGGCAACATGTTGGCTGTGATGAGGCCGCAATCTGACCACCACGGCCGATGCGATCCCGATCCGACCACGCCGGCCTTCATGCCTCACTTCCGTTCGCATCGCTTGTGCCAACAAATCACTAAGACAGCCGCAGCGTCGCAGTGCCGCGCTGCTGAAGATCTCAATAGGCGCTTGGCGAGGCTCTTGTGCGCGTGTCCAAGGCTTGGGTATCTAGTAGCATACCATACACTACACAGTAAAGGGTGATGCAACTCCACCTCGTTGAAACCCCGATTCGATTCTTTCTCAACTGTTCAGGCTGCAGTAAGGGCCGGTCTCAGTGTCCGTCCGGACTTTGACCATACAGGTTGAGGCGCAGCTTATTCACTGGTCGACTTGTTCCTGCACCTTTGCTGCAGATGGTGACGTGGGATGGACGCAGTTAGGCTTTCCCATCCAACCAGGGCAATCTCACCCGGCCTCACTGTGAAAAAAGAAAGAAAGAAAGAACTCAGGTCACTCCAAGGCAGCCGCGCGTTATCTCTTGACCAACTTGGCAAAAGTTGCAAGAACAACCAACCACCAATGGAGAGAAATCCTCAAGATCCGGTCACATCGTGTTCATCGCTCTTACCATAAATAACTTTGGCACATATCACCCTGCATCGATGATCTCCTCCTCCCCCGCACGAGTCAAAGCCGGTTTCGTGACCAAACAATAAGTATCATCTCTTTTAATCTCTCTCTGTTCAACAAAGTCCTGGAATTACCATGGTCGAAGCTGTGTTCGATTGCTCATCTTGACATCTTTCCGGCTCTCATTGCCCTAAGCCCTCCAACAAAGCCTGTACTGATACCCCGTGTCGTTGTCCTTGTCCCAATATTTTCAATACCAAAAAAATCACAAACCAAATCCTCATCTTCTCCTTTTAACGCCATTGTACCGGTTTTCTGTATGCAGCGCCCAGTGTCATCAAGTACCCATCATGATCACCCGTTTGCCATCAACGGAGCAGAAATCTCCCAAGACAAAAAGAAAGCACTAGAAGCCGAAAGCCATTGCCAGTTCCTCCGGTCAGACGCCCCATCCAATGCGAAAGAATGAGCAAAAACAAGAAAAGAAAGAAAGAAAATCCCTTAGCAGACAGCCGCGGGGACAGCATTGCTGTTGCACGGTCCATCAAACATCCACTCGTCGTCGTTCTCGTGGCTCATGGTAAACGCTTCCATGAAATCGCCTTCTACGGCTTCAGGATCGAGAATGCTACCAAAAGCATCGTCGAAATAATTGGCCATGGCACCGTTGGTGTCACACTCCATGGCGGTGGTCTGAACCTCCTCATACGCGGTCGTATCTACCGGAGGGGTCAAGCCTGCCGATGACATGTCCTCAACGTCAGTTTGCGGCGGCGTGCTGCCGCCACTGTCCACGTTCACCAGGACCAAAGCACCTGGTCCATGCCCTACCCCCGATACCATGGCATCTGCTTGGGGAGGACGATAGAAGGTGGTGGTGGTCGATGGGGAAAATGAGCTGGTCTCAGGTGGTGGCGTTGGCTCCTTCTGTGGTCCCAGGTGAACCTGATGTCCAAGGCTTACCGGAGCTGCCTGAGGACCCTGAGGGCTGACAGCGGTGGCCTTGTGACGAGCCTCTACTCCCATCAAGAACCCGTGTGCAAACTCGGCCGCTGCGTACATGCCGCGTAGCTGGAGAAGCAGCTTCGCGCACACCTCAAAGTCGCGGCGTGCTTGTTGACTGAGCTCAGGATCCGGAGACCGGCTATGGAGCAGGTGAACTGTCATGGCTGGCAGTGTTACCGTGACAGCTGTGGTGGGCAGATATTTAGCCAGTCCATGGCGCAAAAGATCTTCTGCCATTCTCGTCACCATGGTGGCCGCGTGGTGCACTTTGCTCCGAGCCTGCTGGGCAATCAAGCTAGTCTGAGCGGGTTGAGTAGCGGCCTGCTCCATGGTCAAGTAGTGCGGCCTGTGCAGCGCCGAGACAGTCGTGTGGTAGACCATGTGGAGGAGAGTACGGTGAACAGCCACTGGCTGGTCCTCCTCCGCGAGGGCCTCAGTCAGGAGTGGTCTGTATTGGCAGTCCTCAGGCAACTGTAAACGCCAGCTCTCCAACATCCGATCAACCTTCTGGACTTCCTGGATGTTGTTCAGGCTTTTGTTCGGGAACAGCATGGTGGTGCCGGACGTTGTTTGACCGGCTGGGAGACCACCATCGTGATTGAGAACCGTGTACTGGGTCTTAATCATGTGGCTGATAGCAACGCAGATGCGCGCTTTCTGGATACATAACCGGGCAAGCTGTCGCTGTGTGGCGACGTTTCTGACAACAGCGCAGTTGGAGCCAAGCAGTTGGTTATCGGCCGGAAGCTCCACAATCTCAAAATCAGATTCCTCCAGCATGGGCACGTCAAAGTCTTCGTCCTTGATCCGGGTCGGTCGGCGCATTCCTAGCGCAATAAGCCGGTCGCGCATGAAGCAGCACCACCAGATCCGTTTCCACAGTTTCTTTTGCGCAGGCGGCATGGCCAAGTTCGCCGGATTGCGGTGGATGCCAATGGTGAGTCCCAATGAAATCGCAACTCCGATCCAGTGCCAGGTATCTTTTTGATCCTCTGGTGTTTCGTACCAGTAGGTCATGAGAAGAAGAGCCTGGACCAGATCGAGACGGTCCTTTTCGACATCGCAATCATACAGAACCCGAGTTCTCATGAACAGCTCCTTCCGAGCGTTCCTACGGCTCCCTAGCCCGGCCACATCCAGATACTTCTGGTCCACAAAGTTGGACCCTGCAAACATAACGGCTTGGTAGAGGACCAGGCTTATTTGGCCCGATTGCCCGTTGGAGTGAATGGCGGTAAGGAACTGACGCAGTTCGAGGAGTGGCATGTACGGATGAACATATTCGATATAAGCCTTGAGCATGGCATTTTGCACCTCAGGCGACGGAATCGTAAAGGCCCCCTTGGCCATCATATATTGCACATCGACTGCGTCCTTGGGCGGGAGTGGCTTGAAGAAATTCGGAAGATTCGGGGAGACGGTCCGGTTGGGTTTTGGTTGGAGGTTTGGTTGCAGGAAAGGTTGTGATGGGGGGGTCGAAACCGAGATAGGTGTTGGTCGTGGGTTCACAACCGTCGCGGAAGGGTTGGTGAGGTTTCCGGGCATGGTCGTCATCAGCTGTGGGTTTTGCCAAAGACGCGCGCTAGTTTCGGGGATACTTGGGTTATTCCAAAGTCCTTGAGTTTGTGTCGCTTGGGCGTCTGTTACGACGTAATTCAGTCAGACAAGGCTTCTTCACAACCGGAATATTCGGGATAGACTGAAGGCTTACAGAGAGGCTGCATCAGGGCATTTCCCATGGAAAGAGGGAGTCCAGCTCCATTCATCATCTGGAAACCAGCCATGAGCGAGGCATTGGCGTGGGCAGCAAGCTGCTGACTAGAGAGGATCGGCTGATGACCGAGAGTCCTGGCGCCAAATTCACCGCCGACAGCCGCAACTCCATTGGGAACTGCTTGTCCGGCCAACATGTTCTTCCTACACAGAGGGAAAAGGCAATGGCGTTAGCCACTGCTCGAGTTACTTGGTCCTGAAGATTGGGGAGGCATGGATGCCGAGGCACTCACTTGCGACGCCGACTCTCCATAACCACACATTCGACCCGGTCCCACTTGCAGTTGTTACAAGGCAGACCGCCCTCGACAACGTTGCAGCGTACTTTACGGTTCCGACATGTCAAACAGGCCCGAGCTGCACGTCTTTTTGCTGGCCTGGGGTTCTGGCTATCTGCGGGAATGGCTTTTGATGGTCGCTTCTTGGAAGGGGTCGCGGCTTCGATCCTTGCGAGGGAACTCGGTTTCTCTTCACATGGCGACGTACATACTGGTCCTGTTGACTCGTTTTCCGTCGATGGGCTCGGCGAGGGAGTGCACTGTGATCCTTCCCCGGAATCAGACATTTTGGAGAGGGTGAGTTTGACGCTTCGGACGTTCAAGTATCAAGACAGAGCTGACAAAAAGGGTGTGTTATTCGTTGGTGAGATTATGACAACTCCGGAAGCCGTGGTGTGTGTTGAGGTTGCTGGTAACAGTGATGACGGTAATAGGGTTCGATTTCCGACTAGGTTATGTCTCGATGGATGTTGGTAAGTCGTTACTTTAAGTTTGCTGTCTAATTACCTAGATCCACGTCGACGTTCACCTGGACGAATTCATCCAAGAGCACCTGAATTAGGAGGTGGGGGGAGAGGATGTTTTATATTGTTCCCTTGAGCTGACGGTGTACTTGGTACATGCGCATCTCGCACAGTTAAGGTCCCATATCCTCGTACGTATGGGGCATTGGAGGAGACACTAGAGACCCAAGAATGGGCCCCCATGTCAATCCATCGAGGTATGGATCCGGGTATTGGGACCTGCTTCCTGGAAAGCTGGATGAGGCTCGATGGTCAAACCCAGCCGCTTAACAAGAAGCGCGACGAGTCGTGACAACGGGAACCGTTGTCCATTTGCTAAGCTAACACTTCTGCAACAGAGACAGAGTCCAGATATAAAGATGCCGACGCTGACCTTAAAAAACTTGAAAAAAATGAGGGGAAAACAATGACTATTTTGAGGTATTCGACACGTAAAAACTAAGATCGTATCCCAAGGCAAAATGGTTGCCCCACCAATAGGTATCCCGGCAAACGCCCAGAGCTACGCTACAGCAGCGTACAGGAACGGGAGTGGCTCACATGTCTATCACGAGCTTTAGGTACAGTACAAAAGCCCACCGTACCCGTCTCATCGTCCTGTCCCTCTTCCAACCCTCGTCGAGCCCCTCGTCAATCGTCATGGCCCTCCTTCAACCCCGTCTGGGGCTGGTGCAAAGTGGAATGAATCTTCAATCGATCCGCCCATTGCTCCGAGCCTGGTCTTGATTGGGTAACACCTCGCTGGCCATGCCTCGAAACGGTGAGATCTTGGAGCCTGCGCACTTGATCGAGCCCAACTTTCTCCAGTCCAGA